ACAGCTTAAATTTCAATACAATTTTTTATTTTAACAGTGCCCTTTTTTAGTAGCTTTTCTTTGGAGGCTCCTATTTCTCAAGATCAAATGATGACAGAAGCAATCCAGTGTCTCTTACTCTTTTCTAAACCATACGCCAACAATGTTGACTAGCTAGTATATGAAATCGATATAATGCTTTTTGGTGTTTTTTAGGACATTGTAATGTTCAGTATCGAGCCTCGGAATCGTTTTTGAATCACTTTTTAAATCTCTGAAAATATATACATATTCAAGAACTTGCACTATTGCTGGCTTCTCCTTCTTCGAAACACTTTCTTACAGGTAACAGCTTTGGCTCGTGACGGTGGTAACATACTTGAGCATCAGTACGCTGAAGCCGTATTTCGCCTTGATCGATATATTCAAAAAAGGTTCGTTTTTGATTAATAGAACATGTAGGGTACTATTAAATATAGGAAGGACTTTTTCACAAAAACGCTCGTACCAAGCAGCTTAAAGTACTAAATAGAAATCCGTTCATTATATGTCATCTCATAAATTCTGCACTAGACTATTAATTTCCCCCGATGCCTACATCTGAAGTCTGAGTTTTGAGAGATGATAAATATTTTTCACACCATATTACCAAAGAACTGCCTTAAAGATATGACGTGAGGTTTCATGAACCCTGTGTAGAGGTGTGCGTCATGAATTAGTCATTTTAAATATTATCCTGCACTAAACTATGCCTTCCAAAGTTAGATAATTATATCTTTTTATTGCAAAGGCTCCGAATCTCCCAAAGTTCCATTTTAATGTTCCGCTTTACTCCTTAAAATCAGGGAATCAACGAAGAAGTTGTTTAATATTTCGATTGGAAATAAAACTAATGACAAGCTAGAGCTGAATGAAAAGGAATGGACTAGCATTTAAACAGCACTCAGTAGCATCTCTATATTACCGCTACTGCCAACCCGAGTTGTATTCAATGCGCCTTTTTATTTTAATCTTTTAACTCAATAAAAAATTTTTTTGCTTCTAATGTCATTTTCTTCTATTTTCTCCATCGGTACCCTAAACTGTTTTTGTACTTTCAGAGTGCGAGTATTGTACAAACATCACTACTACACCTATCATGATCTGTGCCTTCAGTACAAAGGTAACAACGCAGTTCAATCCAACTTCAATTTTCTCGATACTTTTGTTGCAGGAGGAGGCTGCCCAGCTAACAAACACGTCCATGCATTGTCTGATCTCTACAATCATGGTTTTAACATAACATTCCCATATTTCCGATTTGGAACAGAGTAAGTCCATATAGCACTTCTTTATTGGTTTTTATAACGGATTTCTTGCTTGCTTTAGGGGAGGATATCTTGGAGGAGCTCTAGGAGGGGTCTCACTTATGAAGACGGAGAATGGCACAAACATATTGGCAGGTGCTAGGGCGTGGTTTCTGATTTACCATTTGAAGTTCTTCCCCACCGAGACCAGCTATATCTCTGGACTATGGGAAAATGTATGTGGGCCAAATATGGTCGCCAATGTAAAAAACGCTTATTGATAGGAAAAGTGTCAAAAGAAACTGCGAAGTTCAAGTAGGCTGTTATTAGTGATGCTTTTCATTTTCTCTTACAGGAATTTGGTCGTCATATGGCCGCATACCCAGAAGATCCATATATAAAGATTACGTACTTCCATTCACAGACGTTAGCTGATGAGTTAAACA